ATACGTGCAGGAACGAGCAGACGCTAGGCTTGCACTAAAAAACAAGAATTCACGGCAGCCTATATCTCACCTTTCTGCAATCACCATGATGAGAATCCACTTTTGGGGTGCTGTGCATGCGCGCCGGAGAACCTGATTGAACGCGTATTTTGTCATGTGGAAAACTGCACAAAGAAAATAACTGTTTCTTTACTGGATTTGAACGTTGACTTAAACCGGTCCCTGAGCCACTAGTCTTCCTGGAGTTTCCTCTGAATCTTCCGAGCCTGGTTGCCACTGTGGTGCAGAATCCGAAGCAAACGCGCCTTCGCACGCGCAAGCCATCCACTGATCAAGATACCAAAGCGTGCCCACCCTCGCTGCACACGAATACTCTAATTATAAATGAGGTGCAGCCATCTGTTGGTTGAATAGGAGAGACGCCGGAGTTGGTCCTCCGCAAGATTTCCAAGTCATGGCGAAATCTGCATGGTTGCAATCCGGTGAACACCTAATTGCTCGGCCGAGTTATCAAATTGGGCAATGCGGCGGAATCAGTCAACCGCTGTTAGAATTAGTCTGTGAAAGAAATGATAACGTGTTCATGGAACCTATACGGTACCTCATGGATTTGCCTACGTGGAAATATCACGCTATCTCGGTCGAATAAAGCTTTTGTGGTCAGCCTTTGTGATGTCATTTCATCCTTGAACAAGTTAGAATGCTTCCCAAACGACGCTGAGTGCTTCATTAAGACAAAAGCTTACATGTTTTGGGCGCGATCTCCATACAATATACCACAAGTAGGGTGTGTAACTTTCATAAACTCAAAAGGTTGGGGGCTATGAATGAATTTACCAGACGCCGTATTTAGCGTGTATAGCCACAAATTTTTCGTCGGCTGGAACGCGTCAACCCAGGGTTATTTGTTTTGTGCGATGAAATTTGGTGCCCAAAACGGCCACCGTCAGATTCGACCCACATAACAAGGCTGCACTCCTGGGATTTTGTGAACACCAATGTTTTGTCGCTAACCTAACTAGGGGCCGCGCTTGATGGAGTAGCTACAACTATAATGAGTGGTCAGCACTAGCATATTTAACTGTGATGTTGTGACGATGAGTATGCCGAGATCATCGGGTTCTTATACCTCGTACGAATTAGCAGGGGCCAGTAAGTAGTCTTGTTGCAATGATTGCTCTGCAAGACACTTCCCGGGGTACGAGGACATAAGCTTGCGTACTCGGTTACTCAGACAGGATAACAGACAACATTGATACAGGAGTGATCCTCGCGCTTGTCGTNTTCCCAAGTACATGTATTTGTCCACCTTGGAAATCGTTCACGGATAAAAGCCACGAATACGAAGAGGTAGCAGAGAAACACATTGGGCATAGATATTCTGTATAGGAAGTGGAAACCTGAAGAATATCATGGATTCCGGAAGATCATTTTCTAATGCCGATTACCGAAAGGCGCTACGTCCCTATTGACTATCCATACTAGTACCGGTGCAGTTTGTCTTCTTGCTCCCCAAGGTCATCTGCAGTGTACTTGTTTGCCGTTGTCCCCGCTGGACGAGCTTCAGTAGCTCATCCGCATAGATGTCGTGTTGTCCTTGTCCTTCTGCTCGAGGACTATTTGGATCCTCATCGGAGCTGAAGATTTGTGCGCTCGTTCTCAGGGCGGGTACAAAATTGGTTGAAGATATTTTACCAGTACGATTGCTTGATGCTCCACTTTCCTGGCTTCATACAACAGGATGAATAATCGAAAACGACCGCCGCTTACGCCCCCTCCTTCCTCTTCCACATATTTGCTCTCCCACTCTAGTGAGGTTCGTTCGTGTCGTCATCTCCGTAGGCCCATTCTCAAAGATTGACAAATGCATTCGACACTCATTATCAGCAGCTGCCATATATATATATATATATATATGGTTGACTTGGTCACCAGGTCCACGCATTTCGAAATAATCCTTTAACCCGGACGCTCAGTTCGTTTGAGTTTGGCGTCCGCACCCTTACATACGAGCAGCAGATTCTCGCATGTACTCTGGACCCGCCTCCTGTTGGTGTATGCTGTAGTGTGCACGCTATGGAGGCACCAGGGGACAGTGATTCTCCGAAGGCAGGTGTTCATGACAAATATCACTATTACCGCAACATTTTTAATTTTTCGATTCTGTGACCTATGGGGAGTTCATGAAAGCCTCCGAAGAATTTCAACAACAAATAGAGCCTTAATTTGATTCATGCGCGCCGCAACAGCGTTTTTAAGTGTCTGTTCAAGGGACACTTCCTCTTTGCATAAGGTGCAACGTTTTTGTGAAATATAATCCCCGACGACTTACATGGTCCACGTATGTATGTGGTGGGAGTGCTGTTGACACAAAGCAGGGGTACCTAAAGTGCCTTCAGCGAGTGTGTATAACTTTCAGTCGAAAAATGAGGTCCAATCTGATGGGGGCGCACTAGCGAGAAATTGTTTGGAAATATCGTTTTCTGTTCAAGACAATTCCTGTGGATGTAAAACACAGACAAAGCTCATGACCCGAAACCCAGCAAGCAAGGTCGTACATCACCAACACTTACATATAGAGCAACCAAACTGACAGACAGTGTACATTACATGTGCTACCTCTGGAAAGACGGTTCAAGACCCAGGTACGGCTGTTAAACTGATCTCGCCATCGTTTTGTCAGTTCTACTTGCACACCTGTGGTGATCCAAAAACTGCTGCGACTAATTCTGCAGTACTATGCAAAGCAGTTCTTACATCATTTTGCGTGCCTTCCTGTGGCGTGTTGATATCGTAGTGGTTGTTGGTTATATGAATCTGTAAATTGGTAGATTTAGCGCTACTGAGGCTCATTTGGGTGGCCTTTTTGGAACTGAATCGGGAATCACGGAAATCGGCAAATACCTGCCGTACTTTTGCGCTAGCAATAGGTTGTTTCTGTGCAGCACCAGCTTCTAGGACGAACGAAGCCGCTCGGCCGCATTGTGCCGGAAAGCGTCCAACCTAGGTAGACTGCATCGCCATCGTCCCTGGGCGGAGTGGTTCGATTACTGGTAGTTACACCTTCCGGAACAGCTATGTGAATTTGGATTAAGCGCTTACCCGTTGCTACTTTTCTTTGCGCAAACCTCGCCTGGCTTTCGCACCCTGTCAAAACCACTTACTGAAGTATCTTTCGGACAACATGTATTCAGATCTGGACTCCTACAAGAAGGCACTGTCTGCAGCTCCAGTTGCAGAATGGCACATGTAACAAGATCCAAGCACGGTGTCTCAAGGTAGACTGCCCCTTAAACGGGCTGTAATCAAAATTTACTCACTTCGCACACGTCATCATCCCGGTCAAGAGTAAGTACCACCAGACGCACCGTCAGACGCCAGGTGAATAAAAGCGTTTGAGGGGACACAGAAGTTTGCCGGATCCGAAAAAACTAAAGCAATGGAGGAGACGAGAACCTCAAATGTATCGTTTTCGATCTAACCGCTATTTTGTTATATCGGGTTAGTGATTCGGTGTGGCCGGCATTTACCCTCTACATACTGGCGGGGGATTCGTGCTATGTGAGCACCTCAACAGCAAAGCTGGATGTGTCAGCATTGAGAATGAGTGTTCGGTTGAAGTGCATGAGCGTAAGTCCTGGTTGCAATCGGCTTTTCACCCCTTTGAGTGCAAGTTGACATTCGTTCAATCCCACTGACATCTCTTGCTTAAGAGCCAAATAGAGGGTCTGTTCAAGCAGTGGATAGGTGCCGAGAAGTCATCGCAGCAGCTAAACAACTTTAGTATCCTTACTTTAAGGCTTTACTTCGTTGGATAATGCGGATAATCTCACGGAAGTAGGCGTGTTCGTGGTTGTGATCGACGGCCATTTCTTTTTAGGAGTTACCCGAAACAATTTACCTTCGTCCGCCCGGGACAGAGGCTCATGTTCAGTTGCAGCTGCCATGACAGGTTTGTCACAGCAGGCAGCAGTGTCGCCCATGTCAGGAAACGTTGCCCTCATAGTCTTCCGAGGATCCAAAGCACAGTTTTCGAAGATACCTTTAGGCATATTTACTATGACAGTCCACGGTGCGCGGCAATCGACAAACATCTGGGTTCTTCTTCGGCGCACCTTTGCAACTGGTCCTCTGAGAGACCAGCATCAAAAAGAGCTAACTTATGGTGACAAAGACTGGTTATTGCTCAACGATTTCATGTTATTTGTGATGAAATCCGCCTCGTTTTCGAACGAAATCCAAGAGCATGGCATAATAGTGGTTTTGGAATTGCCGCATTGCCTGAGTTCATAACTCCTGAGGACCCAAAAAGCATATTTAGATTAAGCTAGTACAAACTGGTGATCGTCGATGCTGAACGCTGAAAACGATCGACGCGATGTAAAATAGCAAGGATGCTTTCAAGGTAGACNACTAGGGGCCGCGCTTGATGGAGTAGCTACAACTATAATGAGTGGTCAGCACTAGCATATTTAACTGTGATGTTGTGACGATGAGTATGCCGAGATCATCGGGTTCTTATACCTCGTACGAATTAGCAGGGGCCAGTAAGTAGTCTTGTTGCAATGATTGCTCTGCAAGACACTTCCCGGGGTACGAGGACATAAGCTTGCGTACTCGGTTACTCAGACAGGATAACAGACAACATTGATACAGGAGTGATCCTCGCGCTTGTCGTGCGTCAGAGAGAGAGAGTAATATGGACTGCAGTAAGTTGAGTAGATTATCGCAACAGCAGAACAACCTGCAGCACTCGCCTACCCTGGAAAACAACATTTTTAGGCAAGCTGGGACATTACATCTCATTAAGCAGTGTTTCCCAAGTACATGTATTTGTTCACCTTGGAAATCGTTCACGGATACAAGCCACGAATACGAAGAGGTAGCAGAGAAACACATTGGGCATAGATATTCTGTATAGGAAGTGGAAACCTGAAGAATATCATGGATTCCGGAAGATCATTTTCTAATGCCGATTACCGAAAGGCGCTACGTCCCTATTGACTATCCATACTAGTACCGGTGCAGTTTGTCTTCTTGCTCCCCAAGGTCATCTGCAGTGTACTTGTTTGCCGTTGTCCCCGCTGGACGAGCTTCAGTAGCTCATCCGCATAGATGTCGTGTTGTCCTTGTCCTTCTGCTCGAGGACTATTTGGATCCTCATCGGAGCTGAAGATTTGTGCGTTCGTTCTCAGGGCGGGTACAAAATTGGTTGAAGATATTTTACCAGTACGATTGCTTGATGCTCCACTTTCCTGGCTTCATACAACAGGATGAATAATCGAAAACGACCGCCGCTTACGCCCCCTCCTTCCTCTTTCACATATTTACTCTCCCAATCTAGTGAGGTTCGTTCGTGTCGTCATCTCCGTAGGCCCATTCTCAAAGATTGACAAATGCATTCGACACTCATTATC